GTTCAAGCCACAGTAACTTTCAGTCAAGTCTGGTTCTTTGCATCATCATTGGCTCACTGATAACTTGCACTATCCTACAAACAGTATCTGAATCTCACTTGAAATCTATAAAGTTATTAAGCAGAATTCTACTGCAATTCTCTCTCTCTTGAATACATGGAGAAGATAATAAGATGGAAAACAAGCAAGAAACAAGAATAAAAGTAGTATTTCCCTACTGTTCTCCTGGACAATAGAATGAGCCCACAGCAACTAGAACTGCAGAGGTCACATTGATACTCAGATTCTTCAGTGTGTGGTATTAATGTTCACAGAGAGTGGATTGAGATCAATAGTCCCAAAATTTTAGCGGTCAATGAGCTACTGTCTGTTCCTGGAATTTCTTAAGTACCCACTGCACATTTTTCATAAGGCTCCATCTAGTCTCATCAATAAAGTTTCAGCTGAAAGCATTACAAAAGTAATGTAAGGCCTAGATTTTGTGAGCCAGTTCTACAGTCTCATTCTCTCTCCTTTCCAATGAGTATTTACTTGTCTAGGAAAATTTACCTATGTTTTAGTGGTATAATAAAAATAATATTTAAAACTGTGGAGTAATAAATCTAATGAGCGAGCTGTCTTGAATCCAGGATCTTAAATCAGAGACATTTGTGGAAAGGGTATCTTTTGTCAGCTGAGATGAGCAGACTTTCGGTGGGGAATGAATAATGGTCTGTTTTGCCAAGGAAGAACATTACTTCTTTTTTCCCTATGCTACTTTAAAAAAATCTGAAAGAGTACATAAAATAGAAAAATAGTTTTCACTTGTGGAATCACAGAATGGTCTGAGGCATTCATTAAAAAAAACCATACTGGTCTAAGTGTGAGTCTATCTATATCTTGAGGAGAAACAGTCTGTGAGTATCTACTCACTTCCAGATCAATGTTGCAGGAGATAGCTGTTGAATAAACTCAAGGATGAAAAATCCAGGCTGGACACTCTTCGTGTTTTCATTCTTCATGTTTGAATACAGTGGTATAGGAACAGAGAGAAAAAAAAAACTTCATGCAGTAGTTAGAAAGCAAAGGGGGAATTAAATGCTTCCAAAAGGAGCTTAAAGCACAGAAGTTGTGGGAAGCCTTTCCTAGTTGTTTGTAATCTTTCTTTATGTTTTCCTGCTGCAAGCAGGGCTTGATTTCCAGTGGTGCTTGATTTTTCATTGCTGTAATTCCTGGTCAGCACACACTGACATGAGGATGTATTTACTGATGGTTCTAGGTCCCATTTCCAGAACAGAAGAGCAGGTAGCCAGATAGCCAGGTGGAAACACACTGTATGACCCCTAAATTTGTCCAATGTGTAATCTAGATGAAAGAAGTAAATTACTTGCATTATCAGTTTTGAATCAGTGAGTCTACTTTGATCAGCCTTGGCTTTTCCATTTAGATGGAATTCATCAAGTTTAAAGCTTACTCAAAAACAGCTGAGGTAAATCACTAGTTGCAATGTCTGCTGAACTAGAATTAAATTGCATTTAGTGCAGTTAGTTTGAATAATGTAAGAAAAGTTGATTTATGTAGAAATAATTCCCACTACAAAGAATGACACAAGCCTAATGAGAAACGCAAATGGCTTAAAAACATGTATACAGGACTTTGAGCTTTAATTTGCACCTTCTCACAGCTTGTAAATGTATGAATTACACCAGATCATGGTCTCTTACAGTTACACATTGTCATGTGTCTGTAACAATGTCTGAAGACTCATGTCTGTTCTGTAGTAAATAGTCAAGCAAAGGATATGCTCTTGAGCTGAGTCAGTTCAAGAGGTGAAACTGAGATGAAATCTCAATAAAAACAGGCCAGGCTGCAGTTTTCCCATGTCCTTATTAGGTCCATTGTTGTCTTTAGCCGGATCTACAACCCATGTGAAAATACTAGAACTCCTTATCTTCCTAATCCACTGCAAAAAATTATTGCTCGTGATTTCAAGACTCTTTGTCAAATCTCCCATCTGCTTCTTTTGTTCCATTTTGAAGAGTCACAGACTATTTAATAATTTGTTCTGTACCATTTGTTCAACTTTCTTGCCCTCCTTTGAACCTTTTTCTTGTTCTTTGTACTATGAGAGAACTAGAACTGCAGACAATACTCACGATGTGAGTTTGTGATGAATTTCCTGCATATTATATTTCCTCTCTATTTTTTTCCTTAATAATTCCTAATGCTATATCCCCTTTCCTCCTCTACCACTGAATACTGAGTTGACAACTTTATAAAACTGTGTGTCATAACTCAGGGACTTCTGCCCAAGTGGTAGGACTTCTCCAACACTTCTCTCTCTGTATGCAGTTAGGATGATTGTTTTGACTGGAGGTACTTTCCTTTGTTGTTATCAACATTGGGTCTTTTTCTGCCATTTTAACCCAATAACTCACAGCTTGGAATCTTTTTGTTTCCGGCTAACTTTCATTTTTGCTACCTAGAGTAACTTGCCATCAGGAAACTCTCTCATCTCAGACTATGCTTCTTTTTCCAGATAACTTGGATGTCAAACAACACAACTCCAGGGACAGATTTCTGAGACTTCACTGAGGACTTTCCTCTTCTCCCACCTCCCCAGAAATTTCACAGAGCCATGAGATATTTTTTTCTACAAAATTCATATCAATTTTTCCTCATTATATCACATATGTTCACGCACTTGCTAACTACATTACATGGTAAATTTTCTACCAATTTGTAAAAATTCAATATCTGTAATTCTTTTTTTTTTTAAGACTGTGCCTTTTTAAATTTCATGAGCTTCATTAGAGTCAGTGGAGCATTAGAAAGATTCAGCAGCAAAACTTTGCCTTTCACAAAAAAAAATCACTCTAGGTTGATCAGGTGGTTTTTTGTTTGGTTGGTTTTTTAAGGAAAATAGATAAGACAGATCATCCACACAAAGTTGTTAATCACAAGACAATGAATAAATTATGAGGCACACATAATCATTTTCTGGCAAACTGACTATGATTTTTACAAATGTATTAGCATTATGTAACAGCAAATAAACCTGTTTGAAACATTTCTGCCCCTGCATAAGACTCATTGCATTTCTGCCTGTGATTTCTGACCAGCAATTTGTTAATTTTTTTTTCCAGTCTAGTGGTTAATTTCTCAGTGAATTTTCCTTGCTGAAAAAGGAAAGGTAATTCAGTAAAGATAAATGTTCCATATTCAAAATCAACTTTCTTTCTTTCTTTTTTTTCCCCCCCTGATTAGAGCATAGGATAACTCCATCTCCAGAAGCAGTAACCCACCTTCATGAATGGAGTTCTAAGCAGCATTCAAGGTGCACCTTACTGCTGGTAAAGCAGAAAACAATCACAGGGATGCTTTCAAATACTTCTCTGGCGCTGGGAGCACTCATAGCTGCTTTCTCCCTCCATTCAGGAGGTACAGGTGTGGTGTCAGGGGAAGGTGAGGGGCTGGCTCAGTGTCTGCTCCCCACCAGCCACAGTGTTCATGGGAGCTTGTGTCATCATTGCGAACAGGATGTTTCCTTAGAGCTGCTCTGATGAGGACAAACTGCTCCCCCCAGCCCAGCAGCTCCGGATACTTAGAGATGTTTGTTTCCCTGTTGGTATGTATACCAGCTTCAGCTCTGGCACAGTGGGGGAATCTGACAAGAAGAATGATGATGCTGGGCAAGCAAAAGGGTGTAAGAAAGCCAGCAGGGGTGGTACGCAGGGTTTCCATCGCCTGCTTTGGAATAAACCCAGCACATGAAGTAGTTACAGTAATAACACTCAGCCTTTGTGCTTTTCTGCTTTTCTGTCTCCAGATTAGGATTTCTGGGCAGGCCCTAGCTCCGAAGACACAACGGGACACAAAGCATGCTCTATTTCAGACACTGTCATTTCCCCACAACCAGCAACAGCCTGAACCTTTCTGACAGTATTATGTCAGGTCCCCTCCATGCTCCTCTTACTGTGTTTCTGTTCTGTTCTTTCTCCAAGTATCTTCAGCATTGCTCCAAGCCATGGATTTGATGCTATAATGTAGCATTCAGAAAGAGAAAATGCTACCGATTCAAGGTAAGGGAGTGAGCCACTTTTGCAGTTTTATGTAACTCATTTGAGCTCTGTAGTTATTTAGTTGCATTGAATAATTCAGCGGGGAGGCTGTCTGAAGTGCAACAGCCTCTTTGTTTCCTATGAAGGGTGATGCATGCTTTTAGGGCTTCAGACATCTATCCAGCAACTGGCACAGACTTTTTCAGAAACAAATGCATTTATACGTTCAGAGACTAGCTCCCAGCACCCACCCAGGCCCTCTGCCAAATCTTCTCTTTTTCACAGCATAAGGCAAAATCCTGTTCACAGTTTTGTCAGCATTACTCTACCGCTTTCAGCGAAGTCACCCCAGAGTCACACAGGTGCAAATGAATTTAATATAATCTTTAGTGTTTCACCAACTCAGCACACACCATCTTAAACCCTCTGCCCCACCTGGTCAGTGGTTCTCCCCTGCCTGCTGACCTGGCATACAAGCTGATGCACAGATACCAAATCACACATATCAGTCCCTAGACAAATGTCAAAATGTGTGTGACTCAGAAGCTAGCTATCCTGAGTCCTCATGCCAGACCTCACGAGAGACCTCCTTGCTAACCTACACGCCAGGCAAATACCCCAGCCACCTCTGCTCAGGCTGATTTTCCTGCACCTGCTTGCACAAGAAACCTGACTACCACCACTCCATGATGAGGAATGACCCTCCTTGGGGACCTTTCTTTCTCACATCAATCTTCCCCATTTCCATACGTCTTACCCTTCCCTTAGAAATTAGACATCATCATAAGGAATAAAAACTGTTTAAAAACCTGTAGAGCATACCTGTTTCCTCAGAGAGTTGCAACTAAAAAGCAAAAGTGCAGTGACACAGAATTACATGGGCATCCTCCTCCTGGGAACTCATCTGCTAGCATTTGACATGGACTCAGTCAGAGGAATGCTGCTGCATCTGCACAAATTGCTGCAGTGAAACCTCGGAGTTTCTGTCAGACTGCTGGATGAAATTGCAGCTTCCTTGCTCGTGTGTGCTCCGGCTCCCTTTCAGCTCCACGCAAGCAGCCTGCCCTGCAGAGGTATGGAATTTAAAAGCTGTTTCGGTTTGTTTTTCTTTGAGTTGGTTATGCTACTGTGTCTACAGTGCTGCTAGAGAAAAAAAATAAAGGAAAGGGAGGAAACAAAAAGGATTCCTTCAGGCTTTTACTGTCAGTGGTGCAGGAGGATGAGTAAACAGGCAGACAGCTAAAAAGATTATGCTAAGTGGTGCAAGAGGCTAAAAGCTTTCCAATATGTCGTTCCGTTGTTTGTTTGAATATTGTATATAGACATATAAAAAGGGAACAGTTCGGCCTTAAGGCCATATTCATGAACTGAGACAACTGTGTGAAGAACTAAAAACTCAGTGCTGTTCTGCCAAAGAGAGTTTCAATAAGCAATCTGAGCTGATTTTCAAAATTTGTTTCTGTTCTCCATTTGGTGTTATTTCTCTAAACACAGTATTAAAAAAAGAAAGAAAGAAAGAAAAGGGTGATCAAACCATGCAATCAAAATCTGCATATACATCTCAGAGCCTGAAGTTTTAGAGGTGTCCTTTTGAATTTCCATCTGCTAGGACAGCAAGGGCAGGATCCCCTTATTCTAGTCACCTAGAAATCATATCAATTCTAAAATACCAAATTACTTGAGCTAAATGTGGGTGATCCTAGCTGCATAGGCACCAGCTGTCTTACAACTAACACTGGTGAGCACGTTTCAGCTAAATGTGAAGAGATCCAGAGCCACAAACCCTTGTGAGAGAGAACAATCTGTGGCTGTGCTGGCAGCAGCCAGGTGTCAAAAGCACAGCTAAACCTGAGAAGTCACTAACTCCTTTTGCACCTCCCTGAACTGTCATTGTAATATTTGTGTTTCTCATGAAGAATTGATGGTTGAGACTGCTTCTTTGAGCTTTCCTGGCACATATTACCATGTCAATTTACCTATTAGTCTTAATTTACTGAATTACTTATGGCTTCTCCTGTCAATGTGATATGGTCTTGGGATTTGTCTCAAATATTTGCTGGGCATATTAGTTTTTACTTTCTGTGTAGTCACAGCTACATCTCAGGGCATGGTTTCACTAAAACCAGGTGCTGGAAGAGGAGTGCTCATGCTTGTCTGATCTTGCAGTCTGATCAGCCCACTGACCCAGCTGAAAAACAATCCGCTATTTTTCTAGGACAGTTTTTCAACCAGATCAGCTTGCTGACCTCTTTGATGACATAGTCATGAGTACTCTGCCAACAAAAGGGAGAAGGGGGACATGCATCTGCAAAGTGAAAGAAAATGCCATCCATTTTGGTTTCAGTCTGCATGTCAGTCTCTTAAGGCTCTCCATGAAGGCAAAGTTCACCACACGCTCATTGAACAGTACAGGTCCTGGCCAAGCACAGTGGTATCATGCTTGAGTCTGCATTTATAGTCATCAGATCTACACCACCTTAACTTCAGAGGATTTACTCCAAATTTATACTTGTCTGAGGGGTAACTCAAGAAATCTCTGTACAAGGAGCAGCTGGTATGAAGGAATAAGTCACAGATCACCACCAGTGCAGTATTGCTGAAAACATGTAATCACTATTTAATTTGACTTCTCAGTTTTGTCAAGCTCTTGAAAGTTCTCAAGATGTAAAATTCCTTTCTATTCTTATACCAAGAGGAAACGTCTTCTCAATTTCAAGGAGACAAAACCCAGCACAGGAAGCTACGAAATACTGTACACTATAGCAGAGTTTATCTGACACAGAGACCTAAAACAATTCCTGCATTGTGCTGTAGTATCTCCATGTCATAAGATGACCAGGAAAACTGTTCGTACATCTACCTGGGCAATTGTAAATATTTTGATGTCTCTTTACAGTTTTGCTTGGCAGTTGGACACCTACATTAGGCAGATGAGGCTTGATCTTTGTTTTATCTAACTTCTTCCCACAATAAATTAGACATGCAATCTAAACCAAAATTCTTACATGATCAGTGGGGAGAGATAGTAACCTCCAGAAGGCAACTCAGTCCATCCTAACAGAGGTATGCTGCATAAGTGGGGTCAACTGGCCCCTGAAAATGCCACTTTCCCTCCTTTGCCCCTGACAATAAAGTAGCCAAGGTCTTAAACTGAAGAAGGAAAAGAACTTATCTGGGCTCACTAAAGGACAGATTTGAACCAAAGAAAATTGATATTCATGAGGAAAAAGTGGGCTGTGAGGGTAATCTAGACCTCTGTCTAACCTGTGCACAGGTCTGTCAAAAACTGGCACAAGCCTATTTTCTCCTAACTTCTTCAGTTATCCTTTGCCTGTGGAATGGGAAACCAGAACATTGGAGGTCTGGTTGTACTTAGACAGCCAGGAAGTCCCAGGGCTGTTGCAGCTGGGAAGAGGGGTTGGGAAGAGAGGTCTCCTTTCTCAGGTATGTGACTGTTGTGGGCAGAGGAAGCACACGATGAGCCGGAGTGCAGAGGTCCAATGCCAGGGTAGAGTTTAGATCCTGCTCCCCCTGAGCATGTACCCAACATACTGGAAGACAAGTACAACAACGTGATGAAGGTCCAGAAGTCTGCAACACTTGGAAGTCTGGAAGTGCTCTTCTGGCAGAGTGAGAGTGTCAGGCTTACAAGTCTATATGCATGTTGTACAAAGTCAGTTTGTCACTTGCTAGCTCCAGTCCTGGTAGGACATAAATCTTACCACGAGTATGATTTTAAACAGACATTGCTGCTCAGACAAGAAGGTAAGTTTGTGTAATTTGGGAACAGAAAAGCCTAAATGCTGCATGCACTCAGCACTGAAACAGTACCATTTCCAGGGCCTGTGTGTGTCACAGCTGACAGCAATGGAGCCTGAGTGTTGGAAATGGCTCCCTCCAGGCAGAGCAGGTTTGTTGCTATGCTATTTCTGAGCCCTCTGCTTACTTCTATTACTGGAAGGGACTTACGTTTTTTTCTAAATCTGTCTCTATTGATTAGCACTTAGTAACTGGTTGTATGGCTTAATATAATGATCATAGCTCTTGCTCCTTTTGTTATTCCTGATGTGCAGAAGACTGTTCTTCTTTTTTTTAGTTGAAGGATGTTCCTGTTAGCTTAGCTTAGCACTGTACATACTTCACAATCCAGGGTATTTGGAATTTTATTTTGAAGCATTTTACACTGGCAACAAAGAGAAAATGAAGTATGTATTACTCATTTTGAATGTGCTTATGAATATCTACCAGAACATTATTGATGTGTAAAATATCACATAAGGTTTTATTGCACTAGGTATTTTGTTGGCTCTCTGTGTTACAGAAAAGGTGTGATTTTCCCACAAGTATATTAATTACACTACAAATTACACTGTTTGTAAGTCTATGCCTTTGCTGAAAAATAAAGTTCTTCTTTTATCGGAGCAGTCTGTCAATATTTGCCTTTAAAGATATTCATTGCAAATATCACATCATAAAATTATCATTACCGGACAAGCTACTAGGTTTTGTCTGTAGTGGTTTTCTGACCAGGGCATTACACTTTTTGTGATTGTATCTCTAAATAACTTTTGCTTAGCTCATTCATTCCAGCCCCTTTCCTGAGGAAAACTTGTTTTCAGATGTCAATTATTAGTTACAACAATTTATTCAACTATTTTCTTTAACAATTTCTACTACTTTTCATCCTGATAAGAGAGTTTACTTGTGTTGAAAATGTAAATTATACGTGGTTACACAAGTGGTCACTTTGTTGTAGATGTTCAGTCAGATGCTCAGCAAGACGGTAACAATAGTGCTAGTGTAGTTCAGGGGAAAGAGAATATATGGACAATCATTGCATGCCATGTGTCCACTCATGTGATATTCATGCCCCAGCCATTTCCACAATATCCCTCTAACATCTGCTTCATGACAGATCAGGATAAGTTATGGTTCTTCAGGGTTTGTTGGGGAAGAGGATCAGACCAAGTTCCTCTTGAGGTTTCTCAATGGGAGGGGAGTTCATCTGCCAGCATTTCCAGGAATGTTGCTGTATTATTTGCCTCTGCTTCCAAACACTGCAGCAGTTCATGCTGCAGGTCTCCCAGCCTTAAGCCACTGTCTGTGACACTGCCTAGAGTAAAATAGAAGTTTCCGGGTGGCCACCGCTGTGATCCTTTTAGAACTGCAGAGCTGTGGTGTAGTGGTGCCCAGCTCCTAATGAGAACACAGATACACTCATTTTCCCATCCAGCAGTTTTGCAGTTGCTATTCTTCATTTTGTGACCTAAGAACATCAGGTTTTAGTCAGGGTCACGATCTAAAACAGGTCCCAAAGAACTGTTTCTGATGCAGCATTAAGCCATCCAGGCAGGGTGCTGCTAGAAGATGCCTGATGACAACATCATGAATTCTGGGAGCCACCTTTGAGTCTCTGGCTCTTGCTACACAGTCGTGTCATGTCTTGAAATCAACTCAAACATCTCTCAGCTATTCATGACCAGTAAGAAATGAAAGCTGGTCATTCACCTTTGTCTCTCTTCTGAGAAAAGGACTTTAAACTGGTGTTGATACTGGAGGACTGAGTGGAGTAGCCCCACAGTTTATAAATGCCATCCTCTCCCCCTGTACAAAAGGGCTCCTGTTTGAAAACTTTGAGACTCATGTCCAAGTCACCATAACTATAGACAGAACGGATATGAACACCATGGAGACAGAAGAAAGACTCTTGCATCTGTAATAATGTCTTTGCAGTGCATAAGGGGGGGCAGTTTTGCTTACGCTGATGCTGACTTACCAGGTCAGTTCTTGAATACATATTTTTCACAAGGTTATGCTGGAGACCACAGCCTCTCCCCCATGGCATGCATGCTGTATACCAGCTGCTTTAGCATATCCTACTTGTACTGAACACACTCAGGAAATCATACTCTAACACTTTGGATGTCACAAGAAGAGGCACCTCAGTAGCACTAATGCTGTCCCAAACAGTGACAACAATGCTAGGACCTTTAAGAAGGCTAGCCGTCTGTTCCTTTTAATACAAAATCTCTAAGAGGTGGATGAGAAAGATTACAAAACTTAGAAGATAATC